GATTTGGCTCCGAGGCTTCCTCCCTTCGGCCAGTCGCGCGGGCATGAAGCGGACCTGGCAACCGAGCGGTCTCTGCAAGTGGCACGGAGGACGTCAGATTCACTGGGCAACTGCTGGGCAGTGTCCCCATCGTGGTGGGAAGGGCCTCTTGCCTAGTCTTTAGGGAAACGAAAGATCTACCTGATCTACCTTCATCAATGGCCTTTTCAAGTGTTGGATTTGTTCAGGTATTGGCCAGAAAATCACCCAAACATGTGTTCTACGGGATGCGGATTGGATGCGGAACCCTTGTTTGGACGCCCTGGAAGAGTAACATAGTGAGCACAAAAGTACCCCCAGGCGGGAAGAAGCAGAATCCACAAACACCGCATCCAATGAAGATTTCCGGAAGCCTGGACGACCGCTAATCATTGACCCACCCAAAGCAAGGGTGTCCGGGTATCCTGTGACAGGAAACTTTGAATGAAGTCGCAAATATGATTTGGGCGAGCTTCCCTCAGAACTTTAGGTCGTGGGTCGTGGATGGTGTCCTGCTCAGAAACGCTGGTGTTCTGTTAAAGCACCTGGTGTTCGAGTTGCTTGTCGGGCTTTCACGAACCACATCCCTTCTGGGCAAAGCCCTAAGCTTTCAGCTTTTGGGGAAAAAAAAGCATTGATCCGGCTTCAATCCCATCTCATCACAGTTTCCTGCGAAATCAAGCAGCAGAGCTTCCACAGAAGCCGCTTGACATGCGAACCCATAGCGGGGGTGGTCCCCTGGCTGTCATGAGAATTGGGAAGATTTGTGATTCCACTGGTATGTTGGCAAAAAGATGAACAGGACCAAACAAGCAAACAAAATAGAATATGCCAAGAACAAAAGAGTCATCGTGTCGGTTGTCTGAAAGGATTAGATGGCTAGCAACCCCCAAGCCCTGCCCAAGCCCCGGCTTTTGCCTTGCCTCACTTCGCCTGAAGCAGCGCCAGCGACACACGTTGCTGTACCCGGCCACTCAAAGGGATCGTCCAAAAACTGGAGTATGGAACCCAACAAAAACGGGTGTCGGGAAAACAAAAATAGGGTTCCTTAGAAACGCTGGGTCCATGAAAGTGGCATGGTCATGAGACCTCCCCCCGCCAAGAAAACAAGAAACAGAGCTAACCCCCAAAATGTTCACTTTAAACACACCTTGCAAAACCAGGTAAGAAATCACGACAACCTCAAGGAACATCTGTTATCTGTGTATAATTGGGGATTACCACTATACTAACATCCTATTGTGAACTATGCCAAATTTGAAGTCTCCTATTACTGACACATGCACAAACATAGAAATTATACGTACCCACACACACACACACACGCACACGCACACGCACACGCACACGCACACGCACACGCACACGCACACGTACACACACACACACACTCACACACACACACACAAGGCACATACGGGTACATACGGTGTTAATACAAGGCACACACACACACAAACCACAAAGCACGAACATGCACAACTGCAAACAAACAAAACAAACAAACAAACAAACAAACAAACGAACTAACGAACAAACAAATG